TAAATATCCATCCAAATTGCTTGAACAATAAAATAACAAAGATGAGCATAAATTAAAAATCAAACTGACTGGGAGATGTTTGTTTTTGTAAAAATAGGTATGAGAAAAGAGGAGGTAGTGAAGGATAAAATTTGCAGACATATTCTTATTACCATTTTGAATAACAGTTCTTGTAAAGAAATTGACAAAGTTATATCTTTATGATTGTTAATTGAAATACTTACTTACTGTCATATAAATTACAGTTGATTTTAATAATCATTTCCCCTACCAGTACTAGCCATCGATATTTGCATAAGACCTCATGTTAATGAGGCTCCAACTAACATTTAGTCGACGTATAAATTAGGTGTTTTTGCACTTGGTCAGATAATAAGCAGTAACCATTTTGTTGTTTACCACTTGTTAAACAATTGCCATAATTTGGGTTTAACCATTTATCTTATTGTAAAAAAAAAAGTGTAATTATTGAAATAAATTAACTTGATGACAAGGACATGACATCTTGAATGACTGTAAAGTGTTTCCGTGGTTTAAACGCATAATAATTAACGATGCCAAAAAACCCCTCAGAATACGCGATTAGACGGATTTCTTTCTCGCTTTTCGGGAAAAATTTTATTCATCCGAATTACTCGACAGACTCGGCTGCCGTTAATAAAATCTTTTAACTTGGTAGAAAAACCTTTATAGAACAATCGAACTGTGACAACTGAATATTTCTGCTTTAATAGAACAAGTTAATAACAAGTTGACAAAGTTTGTTAAGTTGTTCGTCATTGGCAAAAAAGAATTATAATAGCTTGAAAGAAAAAGCCTATAACCTGACTTGTTGGTAGCAAAGTATTCACTTGTTATATGAGGATGTCGTTACCATTTCGCTTGCAAAGATCTTTGTTATAGAAGTAAAGTTTCGCTGTTTCTAAATAACGTGATTTAACGGTGAAAAATGCCAAAGTAAAACAAAAGGCCGGCGTAGCATGAAGTTTATGTTGTAGTCGTTGTCATTATAATGTAATATATATACTATAATCGTTGTCCTACATTTGACCTATCCTTGTTGCGATAGAAACAAGGTCATGATGAAAACATGTGCTTTATACAAAACAAGGCCAGGCCACAAGACAGAATCATACGAAGAAATCAAATTACAAAGCACGACCGTCATTAAAACTCGTACAGTTAATGTCAAAACCATGCCATGTAAATTAAGGGATACAAGACGATGTGTTTGAACAGACTGTGGTTTGGATATAATAATAATAATAATGATGATGATGATGATGCTTACCATAAAGCAAGCGAGTAAGCAAGCAGACAAAGCGAACTTGGAATGCGAGGCTTGTGTAAAAGAACTCGATATACCCGATAAGAAAGATGTTCGAGAAAAGCAAAAAGACAATGGAAACGGAACGACTGATGCTGTTTGTAGTACAATGAGTCATTTAATCGATGCATTGAACTTTAAGGGGTTTGTCCTGATCTAAAATTCGTTCCGAACACAGACACAAAAAGAAACACAATCGAAATTTTAACTTTGGTTAAGTCAGCTCTGTTCAATCAGCGATTGGTGGGTCTGCGTTTTAAATTTGCCTAAATTGTCAATGCTATAGCTTTGTATCATCATGTGTTAAATCCAACACATGTTTAGTTTAGAAAGTACCATGGACGTAGAAACACAAGTACAACGTAGCAAAATGCTATTGTTATGGCTCGCAGAAAAAGCAGGTCTGATTCTGATTAGGCGCATCAAATCTTTTTGCTGTCGAGACGCAGGCTGAATTACTATTTTTATTTGAAAGGGGGGGTTTTTTTATTAAACCGATCTAATCATTTGCGCATTTGTTTTTTTTTATGGAATGACAATTGTTAGTCATGTTGTTATTATTATATTACCATTATTATTATTAGATTGCATGATATGCGCCGAATATAAATGCTGTACATCAAATAATAACCACCCGTTTGCCAAGTATATTTTCTAAGTTGTCTTCCATGTGCATTATCTTTTGCAATCGAAAGTCGATGACAAATAATTTTTTTTATGCTATGCGCTGGCTGCATTGCTTTGGTAAGACAGCCCAGCCACTAAAGACTAAAAACGTCATAATAGTTGATTGTTCGCCACAAGTCAAAATATTCCTTTCCCCACCTCATCTCATGTGGGGGAGTGTGCCGCAACAAAACTTATAGTGATTGTTGGTGCAACGTCTAACTGATTGCCACAAAAGTAACCACAAACGACATGATGTGATGCTAAAAGTCATATAAACACTAACTTTCGCTGGTCCAAGTGTTCTACACTTTATACTCTGCATAGAATAATATACAAATGTGGTGAACAATAGTTGGTTCTTTCAGAGTGGTTCTATTCAATTGATATGGACATCTTCATTGCTTACAAATAACTTCCTTTTTCATCAAACCTTTTAGGTGCATCTCATATCTACTAACAAATAGGAACATTTCCATTAAAATTACTTACACAAACCTAATTTACACCAACTCTATTTTATGTGCCATGGTGTGAAATAGTAAGTGAATGAGTCTGTGTGGTATGTGAACTGAATAAAACGCTAGAGGATTACCGCGATGGGTTTAAAGACAAGTAAAAGTGAATTGTTTTTAAAGGGTACGAGTGTCTGTTTCTATTTGGTTTCATAACAGTACGTTGGTCGCATGTTTGACTTTCACATCTATTGCAGCATAAAACGTCCGTACATTACATGCTAGTAAGTGTCTAGATTATGGTCACAGAACGTCCGATTAACCAAAGAAATTTAATATCAATACATATTAGTCCTAAAAAACAGCCAATAAAACAGTTACGAAACAAAAACTAGATTCCATGTGAGATTTCAGTGAACGACTCGGCTACGGAGGTCAACATATTAATTAACGATTGCTACTAATGAATCAATAATTAGGGGAGGAATAGACAACAACGCAACGTTATGTATGTTCATCGTGAAACAGTGAACAAAGACAAATCAAATCGACATTCACATATTGATATATTTACGTTGTTATAGGGAAACGTTAATTTTTGGAATGTTTAGACAAAAGTTGTGATAAACTCTTCGGTTTCATCAGGACGCCGGCAACTCTTTTAAGCCGAAAAATTTGAGGGCAACACTTTCTTTGATCCACTTGTAACGATCGAGTTACGCAACGTTTGTGTGATCACCCGTCAAAATATCCACTGAACACGATACTCGTCCAGGGCTGGAAAAAACTGGGCTCCTCTGTCAAATTATACAGTGGCATCATCCTTAGTCAAACGTTACTGTTATCGTCTTTGATTTATGTTCCTGAATCATTCACCCATAGCTGACGATTGGATGTTGATCATGTGACTATCTTAATCATTATTATCATCGGTTATCAATACTCTATGACGTTCCAAGATACACTCGAAATCATTTTATTTGTCAACGCATCATATCTCTGCTTTATTGCTATCTCGTATAATATTCTCATTCCACACGTCGGCTTACCAAGAATAACAAAGTAGTATTACGTAACCGGACAATCATGGTGATTTGCTCTCTCGAAATCACCATCACACATACGGTTGATCGATTGCCGATTAACTATTGTGCTTGAAAGGATAACAGCCTTTTTTGTTTGTTGGTTTGTGTCCAAAATTTGCGAGTGAGGTGATATTAAGGAGGTGAAATTAAGGTGCTACTACGATGAGACAGTAAGGGACAGTGGAAGATTGATGGGTGATGTAAAAGGGGGGGGTAAAGAGAGGAATGGGGTGATAGGGAGCGAGGTAGATGGAGCGAGGAAGAGAAAAAGAGAGAGAGAGAGAAAGAAAGAGAGGCGAGAACTGCGCTTAATCATTATGTGGTTACAAAAAGAAGGGTCTTTGCGATGTTTCCCATTGGATATGCATTAATGGTTAATTACTAAGAATGTAGCATAATGAATGCAATTCGAAGCAAATCGCATAAAACTACAAAGAGAATGTCTAAATTTAGGGCATATAAGTAGTATCTTGTGAACTAAATGACCTTTTATGATAAAAAAGGTGCGTTTGTGTAAATATGTTAACAATGGAACGTAAGAGATATATCTGCATATATATTTACACTTGTTGTTTGATATGTTGATACAATCAATATAAACTTATTAATATATACACATATTTATTACGTCAACATACCCCACTTATAACCCCACTTAATAACCCCACTTAGTAAAACCCCACTTATAACCCCGCTTAGTAAAACCCCACTTCGTAAAACCCCACTTCGTAAAACCCCACTTATAACCCCACTTATTACACCCCACCTCGCACAGATACAAGTGGGGGCATTGAAATTCTTTAAGATTTTAATGTACATCGGCATATACTTAAACAAGTAAAAATTTTTTTTCACAATGAAAATTATTTGTTGCTTGCATATAATGTATGCTGAAACAACTAAAAAGAACAAGGTTTGCGTCGTGGTACAAAAAATTCCAGTGCTAAAATAAATAGACGGGCGGGGCAGAAGGACCCAACTAGAATATCGGCTTTTCCAATCATCTGATTATAATTTGATTTTTTTTGTTATTGAGATATAACAGCTGATTTCTAACAGACACATTAAACATATATCATATCTATATATATATCCATTAAATAGTATATCAACCTTCAACAGCATCACATTTTATAATATTACTCGGCATTTTCATAAATCATTAATTCATTCGCATTTTTTTTTCTGCAAAATATAACCAAATTTTATCATAGCAATCATCCCATTACACATCACACAATATCCGGCAGATTTTTTAATCAAAGTCATTTTCTCTCGACCGTCACATTCCCCAATTATTAATATATTAAACCGTATAATATACAGTATATACCATCATCAATCATCATCTCTAAATGTATAATTATAAACCCTGTTTATCGCCGATACGAGAACTCACCACAAAACCACACACAATTCCACATTTACATCCAGAATGCATTCACAACATCCTCATTCATCTTCAAGATGACCACCAATCTCTCTACAACTGTCTGCTTCTCAATCGAACATGGTGTCAATCCACCGTATCCATACTCTGGTCCGCTCCATTTTCGATAATCAAATCACACTCTTCCTCGACATCCACCTCACAATCCTACTCCTTGATATCCACATACATCAAGCTTCTTCCTCCGGCAGTGAAGAAGCAGATTAGACGATGGATGAAGGTTGCTGATATCGACAATAAAACCGCCTTTGAATATCAAAAGCATCTGAGGCATTTGAACATCGAGGAATATATCCATGTCTTTATAAGGTGGGCTCTCGAATACATCGAGAACATGAAAACGAGGACGGCGGCTGGCAAGAACGTGAGAACTTATCGGAGACCGTACGACAAGCCGTGGCAGACAAACATGAAAAGAGTAGAGTCAAACACAAGTTCTATTCCGAGCGTCAATCAGTTCAAAGGACTATTACAAACATTATTTATCAACCTCATATATAGTAAGAATTTGCAATCATTCTCGCTGGACAACACCATGGACAATGATACCTGTGCCCAGTTCATGCGACTGTACGAACCAAAGTCGGCATCAAAACTCATCTCTACACCTATAGATACCACATCCGCATCACAGTTCAAACCGTACCTCGACACGGTAAAATCCTTTCTCCTCGACGTTTCCACGTACAAATCCCAACTCATTTCCCACTTTGCCATCAACTGCAATACCATCCGCTCGCTCCACTTTAACTTTGCCACATACAACGGCCACACTTGTCAGCGTATTCGCGAGACTCCCTCAACCATGGACCTAATATCGTCGGCGTCTAGCCTGATATCAGCTCAGACATCTCTGCGCAAATTATCTATCCGTGGTGGCATTCCCCGAACGATCGAAATGCAAAACGCGATCAAGCAACAAGCACACGCATTACGCTCAATCATCTTTGGAAGCGTCTTGTTTGAAAATTGGGGCGTATTGGATGAAATTGCAGCGTGCGAAAAGTTGGAAAAGTTGACTTTGGAGAATTGTGGTGAGATCAAAGATGAGATTTTGCAGCCGATAGTCGAAAAGCGATTTTGCAACCTGAGGAAACTGAAAATCGTCAAGTGTGCCATCAACAAAGACACGGTCGAGGCATTGTTGAAAAAGTCTGGAGGAACTATTCAGACAATTGCTATCGATCATTCATTGTCGGGTGGGGGTGATTATCCGTACATTGAGCTATTTGCGACACATTGTAGTAATGTGAGCAAGGCCGAGTTATCCGTCAGGCATAGAGACTGTGTACAGATTCTGAAACTCTGTCAATTGTGTCCATCGTTGAGTACTTTGAAAATTGTATTTCCTACGAGGTATTTCGACGGTAGAAGGACGAGACATACCTCTTTAATGAATACAAGCATAAATAATAATATGAATACGAATATGAATGATATGACTGTAACAAATAGAACTGCATCCGTCGTAAACACAACATCGGTAACGACGACGACGGCGACGACGATGACAACGTCGGCGACAACAACACGAACAACAACAACAACATTCCCAACAGCAACAGCAGCAACAACAGCAGCAACAACAACCACTTCAACAACATCAACATTATCATCAGCAACAAACACATATGCATCAACATCATCACCATTTTCATTTACATCAACACCATTTTCACCCATGTTTCCATCACTTACTTCCACATCATCTCATACTTGCACGCCTTCAATAGAAAAAGACTTTTCCCTCTTCTTCAGTCATCTCTCTTCAATTCAACTTCCCTCACTGTGTACACTTCATATTAGTCACAGTCCACCATTCTCCGCTTCATCTCTCCGCACGTTCTTCAAGCTATCACGACCACCGTTGAGAGAAGTCGCATTCATTGACATCAAAGAGTTCAATGATGAACATTTATCGGTGTTACTTGAATGCTTAGGAGGCGTGAGGAGAAGAGGGAGAAGAAAGGGGAAAACTATTGGAGGAGGAAGAGGAGGAAATCTGTCTGGGAGAACGTACGAAGGCAAACCCAAGCATACACTTAAGAAACTTCGAATAAGCACATCAGATTGCATATTAGATAAATGGATCGATCGGGCAGAAGCCATCATTGATGAATGCGATATCAAGGCGCAGAGAGCAATTCGAGTAGGACGAGGTGAACTCGAAAAAGAAGTCAGACGAAACGAATCTGCTCGCAAGATGTTTAGACTTAGACCGGAAAGGGAAATTAGCGATATTGGTATTGGTATTGGTATGGGTGGCGGTGGTGGAATTGATAACGTTTCGCATAAACGTTGTACCAGTAATAGAGAAAAGGGAGGAGGGATCAGGAGGTGATGCTGAGGTGGGGGGGGGGGTAGTGAATTGTCAAAGAGGGATGCATATGGGAAGGACCATGTTGAAAAAAAAAAAAAGACAATTTCGGAAGAGCATTAATACAGGATGAACAGTAGTTGTTTGTATTGCTTCTTCCTCTTCTTCTTCTTCTTCTTCTTCTTTTTTCTTTCTTTTTTTCCTTTTTTTAACTGGTATTGCACATACTTTTTTGGGTGGGGTTTATTGTATCATCGATGGAAAAAAAAATTTTTTTTGGTTATTTCAAAGGGAATTTCTTTTTCATCGGTGTGATAATTTTTAATATATCGGATATATGAATTATATCACATATGGTAGAAAATATCACTTTTTGAACATTTCTTTTTCTTTTTTTGTAAATAGGGATTGGTAAATTTTAAAAATATGGGAAAAAAATTTAATAATTTCAAAACTGTTAAGTTAAAAAAAAAAAAAAAGAAAAGGAAAGAAAAGAGAAAAAAAACTCAACCAAAAGTGTACAAATATAATAAAAAAACGTAATTTATTTATTATTATTTTCCGTAATTTGGAGAGTTAAACATTTTTTGTTTGATAAATAATAAAACCAATTTAATAATAGAGAAATAGCTTAATTAATAATGTTTCGATTGCTGTCATACTCGCCCATTGTAACGGAACTATACATATTCCCATCCACAACAATTTTGGACGCTATTTTTCCCTTTGTCATTTACAGTAATGGCTGCCGGTTGACATCAATCGTTCCAACAATGGCTAAGTTATTTCCAAACAAGTCATGTGCATTCTCGTCATCTCTCATCACAACAAAAGCAGGGAAATCATGTTCATTAACTCCGATACAAAAAAAAAAAAGAATATGTCGATATGCGTGCTAATATTAACATCAATAGGGGTTGATCGGCATAAAAAGATGTGTTAATCCAACCTACTTTAACTTATGTTTATTCTGTACTTCTGTAGCTGCATTAGTATTGTCCAGGTAGTTACTATAAACGGTCAGAAAAGAAGAAGAAAAGAATACGGGATGCAGAGAAGGGTTTTAAGTTGTGACGATCTGAGGGTAACGTAAGATTTCTTTCTCTCTTTTTTTTTTTTTTTTTTTTCACTACTCCATGTGTGAATAGAAAATGATTGTTTATTGGTTAATTGAGAATGGGGATTGACTGTGTAAACATAGAATGAGAGCAGAAAATGGATATGCAAATACAAGCTGTAGGTTGTTAATTCGGAATAGGGTTTCTGTAGGTCTGTATGGTGTATTGAAAGTGTATGTAGGTGTTGTGCGTTATGTATATATGTATTATGTACTGTATATGTGTTGTGCGTTATGTATATATGTATTATGTATATGTGTTGTGCGTTATGTATATATGTATTATGTATATTAATATATGTATTATGTATATGTATGTTATATGTGTGGGTGATGGAGAGTGGGGAGATTTCCGCAGTGTTATCAGAGACTCGAAGAGAATTTGTCCACACAGCTTCAAATGTGATCACGGGGAGAAAGTGAAAAAATCTCCGAAAAGTATTCATATTAATTAATCTTAATAATATTATTTTTATATTAAAACATTGATACCCGTAGTTTTTTCATTTCCTCCAATCACACGATTTTCTAATCAAATGTTTGTTACACGCAATTTGGCCTAATTATGTTATCGCCGAATGGAATAAAAATCTTTTGATGCATTAATCGGTAGGTTTAATTCCATTACAAGAGAAAGACAGTGAGAGTAATTGCATTCCCTAGTAATCGAAATAAGGATATCAAAGTATATCCGCCCCTTCCCTACTTAGGACTTTAACCATAGTCCTCTCCTCTCCCTCTCCCTCTAATTCCGATTCCTTCTCTTTCCCTTACCCATTTTCCCGCTTTTTCTCCCCATTCTTCCTCATTACTCAATCTCATTCTCACTCTCACTTTCTTTCTCTTTCTCTGCCCATTTGCTTTCCTCATTCATATACTAAAAATGAAACCAATTACCTATTCATTGGCATTCTTGGCTGTAACAGCGCTTTCAGCTTTTAGTGTCAATGCTGGCATTCTCCCTACCCACCCAGACGGGGCCACTATAGTACATCCTGGTGATGAGGTGAGGAAATCGTCACTGCGTCTTTGATTGTTAAGCTTGAGGGCGGGTAAACAGATGGATAAATAGTTTGAAAAGGGCGAATTGGATAGATGTTGGTATACAAGCAAGCTCGATTATGAATGGCGAAGCGAAGCGGGGAAAGAGAAGCTAATTTGATTAAACATACATAGACGTACATAGAATCATACATGAAACATCTTCCATCACATAATTCCCCTAAGCGTCATGATAACCAATTAACCAATTCTTGTTTATTATTTTATCCAAAAAAGTTGACAATATTGTGGAAAGAAAATGGTGAGGCCCCGCCTCTAGAAAATCTCGGAAACGTTGCTGTGAAATTCATGACTGGTGGTGACTTGAACCAGATAGAGCTTAAAGTTATCGATACGGTCGATGCCAAAGTCGGACAATTGAAATATGTTATTCCCGTTGTTGCGCCAGCAGGAAAGAGTATGTGTTTTTTTCTTTCTATGACAAGAAGCAATTACGTTTATCGTGCAATTCTCTAGTGTACGCATAAAGATTTTATCCACTATCGCCATCTCACATTAATTTCTTTCTACCCCACTTAGTCTATTTTATCCGCTTCGACGCCGGGCAAAATCAATACTATACTACGCGCTTCATAGTCACCGACGTCAATGGGCAATACCCACCGCCTCCCAACCCTCCACCACCTGTAGGCCAAAATCAAGGCGGTAATGGAACCATTGTCTCTGACGCTCCTGGTGCTGGTGGTGCGAATAACACAAATACAACCAGTCCGAATCCAACACCAACCAATCCAAACTCAGACACAAACAAACCAAGTCCCAACACTCCGACCACTGACAATCCAACTACAAATAATACCACCACAACCACCACCACCACCACCGGAGCTAATTCGAACAGCACCGATAGCTCAAATACACCATCGACAAATAAACCATCCATGTCGACGAGAACTTTAGTTAGCAAAGGTCTTAGCTTTGGTGCGGTAGTTGGAGGGATGGCTGTGAGTTTCTTGGCCTTGGGGGGGAGTTTCATTTGACCGTAGAATATGTCTGTATAATATTGTTGTACAATAATTACAGTCATTATACGAATAATTAAATATTTAGTTAATAACTTATTTAACTTGGCTAATAATTCTCGATAGATTTTTTTTTCTCGCAGTGGGCAAATGATAGAACTGTTGATAAGCAATTTGACCATATAAAAAAATTGTTTAGAGATCTTCAATTGATTACAATTTGCAAAACTTGCGATGTGTTCTTTGTAAAACGGGAGCTGCTTTTTTGCACATGTTTGTCCATCTATTCTGATAGTGTATTTTTAAGTAACTATGATCACTGTTGCGGCGTTGATTCCTTATTAGTCGCCCGCATTGCTAATCAATTCGATACATTAATACCAGTATCACCTTTTCGGAATCAAAATGAGGGGAAGGAAAAAGGTTCGTCAGAAACAACGTTCGATAATTGGAACATGTTCAACGAGGGTACGGGTTACTACTCATGCACGGTTTAATCTAGGCACCTGTGCAAAAAGGGAAATCTCCAGGGACATAGAACAGACCATAAAGAAAATGCGCGCCTCTTCTCTAAAGAAAGAACTAGCGTAATCAAGAAAAGACCGCTACGCTGCATCGGTTTAAAATGGCAAGAAGCATGTGTTTACAGCCACTTTTGTGATGTTAAAACTTGGTTTCGTCCCGACAATACCTGCATAGCATGCATATTACCCGTCGTACGATTTTTCGCTACTGTTTTTCATATGAAATTCCCGTGATTCAAAAGTTCTGATAGTTTTAAAGTTTGAGAACCGCCCCAGAACCCGTTTTTTTGACGATACCAACAACAGATTGTTATGCCGAAGCGAATGTACTGAAATTTACAAACGATTCCTGCTAGCACTAATGTTTCCAAGTCAATGGCGTCATCTACAATTAAACTTGCTGGGAGATTACGGAAAACACTGAGCGAGTAAGGAAAAGATTTGCCCGGCTTTTTTTTTTTTTATACATGCAGTGATACATGGAAGTGTGAGATAGCTCACAAAGATAATGAACAGATGATTCTGCAAGCTGCAGTAAAAGGATATACAAAGCAGCATCTATCATGGTCATGTTAGTAAAAGAGTAACTACTATCAGGTAAAAATTTATTTTAGTAACTGCCTACCATTTGCTAATATTAATATGCCAAAAATACCAACCATTAGTAAACTGTTCTCTCCGGCACTCGAGATTCTTGTCACTGCAGTCAATGCTACCATCTCGGGTTTATTGTTCAACTAAAGACTTGTTTTATTAATATTTACGAATCACATATTTAAATTATGAATTGCTACTTAAAATAAATCCCAAACCCTATTTGACTAAACACAGCTAAGCACAGTTATTATGCAATAGATAAAATGTCGACTTAAATATTACTATATTATATAGGAAGGCCTCATGTGTTAAAATTTAACCTTTACCAGCACGTCTGTGATCCAGTCTAACCCAATATCATGCAATATGCGCACTACTTGAGGCTCAATCTATGCGTACCCGTCTTGTATCTAGCGTCTTTTAGTGTGTGCCCCAGTTGTTATGTACCAATGTATCTCAAAGGCGCATACACAGATAGGCGCTGGATAGGGCTCCGGTCAGGTGCTGGTTGAGGGCGCTGGGTATATGCCAGTTATATTCACGTGCATTAAAACCACTCGCCCCGACCAGTAAGTCAAGGCCAGTTATGCCGAATGCTCCATCAATACGCTTTTCTAAATCACACCATTCGACTAACGTCACGAGATCTTCGTCCTCATATTAATGCGCGCGTCATTCGGAATGCAATTGCTCGTGCTTTACTTTGTCATATGAAAATATTACTCGTAGGTTGCATTATGTATTATGGCCCACATTTGAAGAAAGCAATAAGGCATCTTACCTAAGAATGATCTGCACAAGAAAAAGCCCGTATTCCTATAATGTTTAATGGCAATCACGTTGGTAACCGATATATGTATAAGGCTGACTGTAGGCTAAAAATTGTGCAATAACATGCTGTGTAACTGGAATAATTGTGTATTAAGTTTTTTCCCAGACGCGGTTATCTGTTCTCGGTTGAATTTGAATTAATTTTATTTGAAAGTTCAGTAAATATCCGCTACCACGTTTACCACATATTTGGATAATTATAGAACAAAACAATTTGAACTTTTCCACTGCTTTTTGTATTCTAATTTGAGGAAATTGAAAATCTGTAGAGTTTTTTTTTGCGGTTACTCACCAAAACTTGAAGGCTGAGAATGCGTTTTTGAATTTCTACCTCAATCATAGCCCACAAGTGGTGAAATCAGGATTTTTGGGTAGGCCATGAGAGCACTTCTATGATGTGAGCATAAAGAAACTCTTTGTGCAATTTTCAATGTGAATGAGTGCATGGTATTTCTAAAATGATTTTTTTTTTTTTTCTGGTTTACTATTTTTTTGAAATTCATAAGCTGCAAGATATTTTGTAATTGTTGATCAAATATATTCTACAACCTGTGCAATTTCTGTATTGTTGTGGCCTAATTTTTTTTGTGCAAAAGTTAAATTTTACTAACACTCATTATGCATAATTGAAAATTTTAGAACGAGTTTTATAATCTATAAAAGATTGAATTAAAACACTAACAACAAATCTATGCAGGTTATGTATAGGCAAATATGGTATAAAATTATATGGGGCATGCTGCAACAAAACCAGACAAAGTGGACATTCTGAAATAAGAGGCTTGTGTGGCTGAAAGTTAACTAATTTGACTAATACTAATGACGTTTTGAAAAGTAATA